CTGAAGCCTGACCACCTTGCCTGGAAGAAGCAGAAGCCAGAAGAGCTGCCTGGAAGAGGGTTAGACCAATCGAGGCACCTGGAGAGTACACTTTCCATCCTGTTGAGCTGCCTGCAGACTGTGCAGTGTGCTCCAGGTTCCCAGCTTTGTGAGCCGTCACCTAGGCTCCAGGGGGCTTTGGTGATGCAGCTGTTTGTGACTGTCACCTAGGCTTAGGGGGCTTCGGTGATGCAGCTGTTTGTGACTGTCACCTAGGCTTAGGGGGCTTTGGTGATGCAGCTGTTTGTGACCGTCACCTAGGCTTCAGGGGACTTCGGTGATGCAGCTGTTTGTGACTGTCACCTAGGCTTAGGGGGCTTTGGTGATGCAGCTGTCTTAGAATCACTTCTGCTTCTTTACCCCTCACCTCTGTTCCTGTAGACGATCCCTGCAGAATTCATTGGTTCCCCAGTTGCACTTTGGTGCTACCCATACTTGGGTCAACCATGGGCTCTCTCAGGTGAGTACATTTGTGTTGTGTCGTGTCTCACCAGGAAAAGTCTTGTCACACAGTGATTAGAAGTTAAATTGCTATCAGCTGATAAACAACTTTATACCTTTAGTCTTCATCTGTAACCACAGCATGCCTATGACAAAATGGGAGGTAGGGACAGGAGGACTGCCAGGAAGCTCTTGATCGGCTGGTCTGGACTACAAACTGTTACCAGCAGAAACAAGGAAGGCACCACCTCAGCAGGTTGGAAGGTGAAACTGAAGGGTCCAGAAATACAGGAATAAGATAGGAATGTAGGAATAAAGCCTTAAAAACTTAAGAGATGGAAACTGACAGCCATCAGCTCTGCCAGCAAATAGGGACTAACCTTTAACTGGGCCCTTCTGTGTTTTATGATTGGCAGCTCCGTCAGCAACCCAAATGTTAGCTTTTTACTGAAGATTGCCCTCTGCAGCCCTGGGGTTAGGTATTTTGATAACCCCCTGCCACTTACTACTGAAACCAAAGTTCACTTTTAATGAGTTCGACGTGACAAGCCGCTTTACATTGTTTCATACTCCTCCCGCTATGGGAGCACAACTGTGTCAGGAAAAGTTGCAGGTTTGGGCAAACATCAATTATCTGTGTCAGGAAGGGCTGCAGGGATATCCAAATACCGTTTAGCTAAAACCCTCTAAAACTTTGTTAATTGAAAATTGTAAAACCTAAAAGCAATTTGTCTCTACAAGTTTAACTTCAAAACTGTAAAAATTGCTTTGTCCATGCCTAATGCTATAAGAAGGGGCTCATGACCCCCCTCCAACTGCCACAGCCTCAGAATCCCGAACCGTGGCTGTGGTCTCAGCTAGCTGATACGCTTTTGTGCCCCGTGGTGATCTTTCTTTCTTTCTTTGTTCTTTTTTTTTTTTTTCTGGAATAAAGTCTGCTTCTTGTTTATTAGACTTTGTGTGGTCTGTCTCCCATTATTGTGTGACCCCGGACCCAAAAAAATGACTCTACAAAGTTGTCCAGTGAGCTCCACATGCTGGCTGTGGCATTTACTCACACCCACTAAATAAATAATCTTTAAAATGTGCTTGCTAACCTTATGAGATTATCTATAGATATTTCATGCTTTCAACTTATATTATAGAACCATAAAAGCAGCCAGGCATGTTGTTTGAAATTCTAAAGGTCTTTTAATACAAAATCCCAGAGCTTGATATTGGGGTGAAAGCTGAAAGATCAGAGAAGCAGAGCAAGCCACAGCCACCACCTCTTACCTCACCAACTCCTCAGCCTGAAAGAGCTCCAGCCGAAAGGGCTGCAGCCAAAAAAGCTCCCTCAGCCGAAAAAGCTTTAGTTCCTGTCTCTTCACGCTTTACACACCTTTCTCCTCCCACCCCTATCATTTCCTGTCTCAACTTTCCTAGTGCTGGGATTAGAGGCGCGTGTGCTTCCCAATGCTGGGATTAGAGGCGTGTGTGCTTCCCAATGCTGGGATTAAAGGCGCGTGTGCTTCCCAATGCTGGGATTAAAGGTGCGTGTGCTTCCCAATGCTGGGATTAAAGGCGCGTGTGCTTCCCAATGCTGGGATTAAAGGCGCGTGTGCTTCCCAATGCTGGGATTAAAGGCGTGTGTGCTTCCCAATGCTGGGATTAAAGGCGTGTGTGCTTCCCAATGCTGGGATTAAAGGCGTGTGTGCTTCCCAATGCTGGGATTAAAGGCGTGTGTGCTTCCCAATGCTGGGATTAAAGGCGTGTGTGCTTCCCAATGCTGGGATTAAAGGCATGTGTGCTTCCCAATGCTGGGATTAAAGGCGTGCGCCACCACTGCCTGGCTCTGTTTCTCTCCTAGACTGAGTCAATCTCATGTAGTCCAGGGTGGCTTTGAACTCACAGAGATCCAGACAGATCTCTGCCTCCTGGGTGCTAGGATTAAAGGTGTGTGCCACCACTGCCTGGCCTCTATGTTTAATCTAGTGGCTTGTTCTCTCCTCTAATATTCAGGCAAATTTTATTAGGATACACAATATATCACCACACAGGCATATACGTGTGTGTGTGTGTGTGTGTGTGTGTGTGTGTGTGTGTGTGTGTGTGTGTGTATGTATGTGTGTGTGTTAACCTTCCATGGTTAAGAAGAGTCTACCCACATAAAAAAAAAAAGTGATTGGTTACTCCCATAACATCTGTACCACTGTTGTACCTACCAGTGGCCCCATCTTGCAGGCAGGTTGCTATTTTAGCTCACAGGCTTTACAGCTGGGTGAGATGGATGATTACTTTTTTCCTCCAGTAATACGTGTAGCACCTTAGTCATAGGAGGTAAATCTTCTCGAGCACCAGCTCAATTTCTCCATGTTCAGTGACATCAGTGGAGTCTTCATCAGTAGAGCCTTACCCTCAGGCTGTGGAGAGTAGCCTTAGCAAAAGCCTATGATGTTTGGTGAAGAGGGGGGTATCTATGGGACCCCGTTGGCCAACATCTCAAAAAGAAGTAACCTATTCCTGATATTGAGGAATTTATTTGGTGGCATATATCTAGTTGGGGTATTGTCTCCTCCACTATATGGTACCCTATTTAAACTTGTAGGTGGAGTTTTCCTGTTTCCTGTCCCAACTGCCTGCTCCCAAATAATCACTCAGAGACTTAATATAAATTATAAATGCTCACCTGATAGCTCAGACTTGTTGCTAGTTAACTCTTACACTTAACCCATATTTCTTATTTACCCTCTCCATGTGGCTCATGGCTTGTTACCTCAACTTATACGTGTCCTGCTTCCTCAGCCCCCTTCATCCCAGCATCCCCAGTTTGATTGTCCCGCTTAACTTTATCCTGCCTTGCTATAGGCCAATCAGCTTCTTTATTAACCAATGAGAGTAACACATATTCACTGTGTACAGAAGGATTATTCCACAGCATAAGCTCCTTTTAGAATGTGTATACTTTAGGAAGCTTCCATAGTAGTAGGTTTCACATGACTTCAAAAGTCAGTGTTCGTGGTCCCCACACTCCCCTTCTCTGTCTCCCCTCATTTAATGTTCCTATTCTAATTTTTTGAGGCTTTGTTTTGTTTTGTAATTCCATTGTCCCTTTACAACACTATATTGCTTCCCCTTCTTTGGAAGGTTCACTCTTCCTTCCTATTCTCTTACTAGGGGCCTAACTTTTGTGGTCACTCTGATTGAAACACATATATTTAAAGCTTAAAACCTAACACTAACCCATAAAGAAGGCAATGTGTATCTTTTTGGATCTGGGTTCCTTCAGTTTAGAAGGATTGTTTCTAGCACTATCCAATTGCCTGAAAATTTCATTTTTCTTAACAGCCGAATATTATTCTGTTGTGTAAATACACTACAATTTTGTTACCTATTCATAAGTAGATAAACATCTAAGCTGTTGCCAATTTCTACTTTTATGAATAAAATAGAAATGAACATGAATGAGCAAGTATCCCATGGAACTCACACCTGACACTGTTAATGAGGCTAGAACTTAAAAATAGATAGTCCATTGGCCCGAGGGGGGAACATACTATTATTCTACTAAAGAAACATAGCAATAAAATAATTTGTAAGACATATTGCTATATCCATAGATCAGAGCATTGCTGAACCCTCATCAGAGAAGCTGCTTCTTGCTGTAGACTGTAGTTAACACAGAAATCCACAACTGGACAATGTGCAGAGAGTTTTTGGAGCATTCAGCCTTAATCATCAACAAACAAACTCTCTTCAAGGCTCAGGGATCTATTCAGAAGAAAAGGCAGAAAGGCTGTGAAAAACAAAGGTGATGGATGACTCCAAGAAAATAGCTTCTTCCAGACACAAGGCTGATGCACATATGAACTCACAGAGACTGTGACAGCATGCACAAGACCTGCACACGTTTAAGCCAGACAAAATCCCAGCACAGAGAAGGGGAAGTGGGCACAAATTCCCACCCATAACCAAGAAGCTGTTTGCAATTGGTACCTGCTGGGAGAGACAAAAAACACTGTTCTTCAACAAGGTATATGAACTACACCTCAGGGGAGCCCTCATGATCAAATCAGGAGTAGTTGGCCAATAAAATCAGAATCCATTCTGTGTGTGTGTGTGTGTGTGTGTGTGTGTGTGTGTGTGTGTGTGTGTATGCGTGTGTAAGAGAGAGTGAGAGAGAGAAAGAGAGAGAGAGAGAGAGAAAGAGAGAAGGGGGAGAGAGAGAGTGAGAGAGAGCATGTGCATACTTTGGTTTGTTTTTATTTTGTTTTTTTAAGAGAGAGAAAGAATATAAAAGTTGGGTAGATGTTGGGGTTAGGATCTAGGAGGAGTTGGGGGAGGGTAAAGAATATAATTAAATATTCTAGGAAATTTTTAAAAAGAAAGATATAGACTGTGATGAAATGGAAAACTTTTTTTATGGAACATAAACAATTTTTTTCTTGATATGCAGCTCAGATTTTATCTATTTCTGTTCAATTGGACACATAAACACAAGACATAACAACTATTCTTGGAAGCAAAAATTCAACATCGGCTGGTTTTTGTTCATTTTATTTTCAATATATAAATTGTCAGTATACAAAAGTATGTTTTAATACATTTATTTCTCACAGTATTTCTCAGAGTGTTTTGGAAACTAGAGAGTGAACATAAGCATTCTGTGGATTATGTTCAAAAAGCGGCAGATTTTATAGAGAATCAGTATACCATACAACATGTATGTTCAGGACAGAAATAAGCATTATAAAATGTATAAAAACAGATTTGGAAATACAAATACAGTATGCTTTAGCTGGATTTTAAAGATGCTTTTTTTTCTTCTCTTTCCCTTTTACCTCAAAAGTAATAAACACTTTTGAAGCTGCGTGTAGTGTTGCACTTTTGATTTTCTGTTGTACAGTTAATGAGCCTGGGAGTCTGGATAACTGGTCATCAATCTGGCCTTCCCATTCTTTTGTTTCTTCTTCTTTGATTAGTAAAGGTTTTCCCAGAGTTTGGCCAACAAGGTCACAGACTTCTTGAGCTTTGCGCCATGCATTCTCAACAGCAACAAGACAGGCTTGCCGCCTTAGGGATTGAAAGTAAAGATTAATATGACATGAAAGGAACCGCCACACTCAGTAGTTTTATTTAGGATGAATAATATAAAGATGTGCTCAACTTACCGAAGATTCTCAACAGAACCTGGAGTGTGATAGAACTCAGGTGGGTTGATGACAACAGAGCTGTCTAGCTTTTCAACCAGAAAGTTACAAATATTTTGCATTTTCCCAAATTCAGTAAATGTAATGCAGACCTGTAAGTGAAATGATACTTGAAGTTATTGTCATGCCTCATGTAGTTTTAAAATTTCGTCTAAATCTGAGTATAAAAAGTAAAGCCAAGCTGGTGTGGTAGTGCACACCTTTAATCTCAGCACTTGGGGGACAGAGTCAAGTAGATCTCTGTGAGTTCAAGACCAGCCTGGCCTACAAAGCAAGTTTCAGGTCAGACAGGGCTACACAGCAAGTCCCTGTCTCAAACAGATAAACAGATAGGAAGGAAGGGAGGGAGGGAGGGAAGGAGGACAGGAAAGGAAAGAAAGGAAGGAGTAAAGCCAGATTATAAGGTTCTTTTATAGTAACAAATAACAAATACACCAGGTAAGAAAAAACCCATTTAATTCTTATAGCTGTAATATTTTCTTATTAAAGACTTGTGACTATGAAATTTAAGATGATCTGATGTTAGCTTGCATATTTAAAATTTTTTTTAAACATTTTAAAATTCATTTTTACTTTTTCTGAAAATTGGAGGGTTCTCCCTTTCAGCTTCATTGTTTGGTTAATTTCTAACCCTGATACCACTCTGACTTCTTAGTCTAATTTATTCTATTAGATTCTGATTGGTAGTGAGTATGTCACCCTTTACTGATACCACTGAGCTGTGTGTCCCTTTCCAGTGGTCTTACTACACACAGAAGTGAATTTATTTCCCTATGTATCCACCTTTAAACATAGAGCAGCAGTCTCATTTCAGCAAAACTTGAAAGCTGTAGTCTTTTCAGCATTTTTTTTTTTTTTTTTTTGTTTTTCGAGACAGGTTTTTTCTGTGTAGCTTTGCGCCTGTCCTGGGACTCACTTGGTAGCCCAGGCTGGCCTCGAACTCACAGAGATCCGCCTGGCTGTGCCTCCCGAGTGCTGGGATTAAAGGCTTTTAATGGAAGACCAACTCTTTTCTATTAGAGGGCCTTTCACAATCTCAAGCTGTTAAAATGAATACGCACAGGTTGTAGAGGAGCAGGAGGAACTGAAGAGGAGCTGACCTCATACAGCACCGACAGCGGTGTTTGATCATAAATGTTAGCCAAGGAAGAGTAGTGTTCCATCTGGTTTTAGTAAATACTGGTCAGAGCAACAGACAAGGGAACAAAGATTCAGTGGGTCACTTTAAATTGCAAGGTTGGGAAATTCCAAAGCCTGAAGTTTTCCCTTTTAGTGAGTCCGTATCTCTACTTCAATATATTATCCATGTTCTTTCAAAGGCCATTCTTTTAAGATTTACTTTTATTTTATGTGTGTGGGAGTTTTGTCTACATGTGTGGTTGTATATTATGCGTGTGCTGTGCCTATGGAAGCCAGAAGAGGTCATTAGATACTTTGGAAATGGAGTCACAGATGTTTGTTAGATGCTGTGTGGGTCCTGGGAATTGAACTGGGTCCTCTGGAAGAACAGCCAGTGCTCTTACTCACTGAGCCATCGCTCCAGCTCCAAAAACCAATCAATCAATATCAAACCTTTGAAGTGACCAGGCTGACCTCCCCAGATCTGGGCTAGCTGCCAGCCTGGCCCTGATAGTACACTCTTCTGGAACTTCACTACACTGGGCCTCTCTTTAGAGGCTGATGCTTGGTTTAGGTCATCTGCCTATGGATCCTTCTGGACTCCTTCCTTTGACCAATGCCCAGGGCTGGCTGCTCCTGTTTCATCCATGAGCATGAGAGCACCCAACGTGGGGCCACATAAGGCCTGAGAAAGGTTAAAAAAAATTCGGAACATGGAGTCAACTGCAGCTTCCTGGTGACCGTGGTCTCTCAGGTAGGCTCAGCAGCATACAGAGATGTGGCTATTAGCCGCTGCCTGTGGCCTGGAGCCAGCCAACAGCACCATGCACTGAGCTGAGCTGAGCAGCAGGTGACATAACAGTTTAAGATTTGTCTCATGTGGTCAGAGAACACTGCAGATGCTCAGTGAAGACAGATCCAGATCGGGGGGGGGGAAAAACCTTTAAGATGGAATCCAAAAAATGTATTGCACTGGGGAAGAGGTTATGCTTTTGTTTCCACAGGAAATAAAAGGCTGTAGATTCATTCACAGTTAAAGAGAATCAAGTTTGATCAGGGGAGACCTTCTGAAAATCCTGGCTACAGACATAAAGAAGTAAACCTAGTAAAACTACAAGAAAGGTGACACACATTTTACCTGCTCAAACATAAAAAAAAGGAAATCATCTTTGGCTGGCTTGTGTACAATGCACAGTCCATACTTGTGTTAATGCATGTGTGTGTGTGTGTGTGTGTGTGTGTGTGTGTGTGTGTGTGTGTGTGTTACCTTTGAAAGTTTGTGTGTTTTCAGAGCAAGGGAAAGACACTAATGAAAACAGGTGGCTCAGGTACTCAAGCCTCTCAGATGCCTCTGTTGCAGTTTCTTCAGAGTTCTACATCCAAAACAGCTTCAAGGCTGCTGGCTGAGATGGTCCAGCCTCACAGACTATTCTAGCCAGGACTACAGATAAGCCTTACGCTTTCCCATTGCACAGAGACTGGATAACAAATGTTACAACTAGCTCTCCCAGGACCTGACCATTATCCTAATTTTCTCAAGGTCCCCCAAAGATGCCATTGCCCCCAGTCAACAGGAAGCAGTCTAGAGAACATGATGCCCACATTCCCAACAGGTGGGGTGGGTGGTTTTTAGTTGTTTGATGGATGTTCATTATCATTTGGGGGGTTGGTCACAAGTTGTTATTGGTCATGGTCAGGAAGAAAGCTAAACAAAGGGAATTAGATTCAGGGATCTCTTTCTGAAGGAAAAAAGGGGGAATATGGTATAGAAATCATGGGATAAAAGGGTGGATTATTGAGTCTACTTTTGAACAACCACCAGTGTCAAATTGGTATGGATTTTTGTATATTGACACAAACTTAAGGTTATTTTTGTTATTACACACACACATACACACACAAAATATATATATATATATATGTTTCTAGTCTTGTTTGAGGTATTGTACCTATACAGCTCATTTAAATAGGTAATGTAGTTTTAGTCCTTGAAAGTGATTTAGGATAATAAAGAAATACAGGTTAACAGACATCTATGATAATCAAACTTATAGCCATGTTAAGTATGTTTTCAAGGTCATACAGAGATATATTTTAGGTAGGTGATCTTCAAACACTTCAAAGACCTATAGAATATGGCATTTAAAATGTTTAATAACTTAAGGCTTTTCATGACAGTGAGACACGTCTGCTCCTGGCAGCACCAATTTACTCCAAAAGAGGATGATGGGCATTGAAAAATCTCCATATGAAGTTGCTTTCATTTGTGGCAAAGCCAGCCACTGGGCAAAGAAGCTGCCCTTGCTTTGACTGGTGACAGTATATTGTCTAAATTGGATAAACAGGACATAAAAGAAGGCAACTGCCAAACTTTGCAAAGACTAGATGGGACAGTCCTTCAAAATTCCTGCTTCACAGAAAAGTCTGTCAGATATTCTAGGCTTGTAGGCTGAAGATGAATGCCCAATGTTACAAAGGAACCTTGGGTAACTGTCCAGGCAGCAGATGTTTCTGTCATTTCTCATAGTTTTGGAAGTTGCTTGCTCTGCACTTCCTGTCCACTCAGGTAACATATCCTTCTCAGGTCTTTGATGGGGTTGAAGACAGATAGTTATAGTTACAGTTTTTCCTTAGTTATGAAGAAGGTAAATTAGGCACAAAATTTTGGACTCACCAAGATAAGATAAATAGTAGAGTATTTTCTCTGAACTTGCCAAATAAAAATGGACTGGACATTGTGAATGTACTTCTTACCTGATAATTGTTCTTACTGCTTATAGTTTTATTATGTTAGAGTTAAAAACCTTTCCTTTTTATTTAGACAAGCGGGAAATGTTGTAGAATATTCCTTTATACTATGTGAAGATGTGCCACTGTGATTGGTTTAATAAAGAACTGAATGGCCAATATCTAGGCAGGAAGAGGTTAGGCGGGACTTCTGAGGACAGAGAGATCTTGGGGAAGAAGAAAGGCAGAGTAGCCAGATGGATGCAAAAGAAGCAGGACATGCAGGAGGAGAGGTAAAAGCCACGAGCCACATGGCAGCATGCAGATTGATAGAAATGGGTTAATTGAAGTTAGAAGAGCTAGTTAGAAACAAGTCTAAGCTATGGCCAAGCTTTCATAATTAATAATAAGTCTGTGTCATGATTTTGGGCTGGTGGTCCAAAAAAGCCTACTACAGAACTATGCAGCTTCCTGTTGCTCTGATAAGATCTTGTCCTTCACCTCGAACTCTACTAGACTCCTCCCCTGCATTAACTTGGGGCCTTCTTTTCAGATGCTCCTAGCATGAATCTCACCTGTGAAAAGGGAACCACCTTTGCCCAGTCTCTAGGAAGTTTGAGGAAGTGATGTACCCAATGGAATCAAGACCAGAGACATTTATGGTCTTCTGGGTCAAAATCAGACACCAGTTCTCAAGAGAAGGCAGAAGGGTGAGCCCCAGAGAAGCAGTGAGGGGTTATATGTGTTCTGTGGGTTTTCTTTGTTGCCAACAGGTTCATGGGGGAACATAGGCTTCCCGATGGCTTATTCAGACAGGAACTGGCCCCACAACATGTACTTTCCCCTTTGCCTTCCTTAGGCAGGTGTCAGTCCAACCCGCAGAAGGATTCACGTGAGGAGGAGAGATGAATGAGGAAGTATTATAGAAATACAGACCTAGACGGAGACACAGGATAGCTTTGGGAGGGCCCTGGGTCAATACCCAGTTGCCTCAAATTTTATTCCAAAGGGCTTTTTATACAATGCCCAGAGGTGAGGCAAAAGACCTTCCCCTTTCAAGATCAAAGCACACTGTACAGTCAAGTGTAGATCCTGGTAACCACACCTGTAGCCAAATCATCCCATTATGCAGCCCTACTGGGTAAAGCAAGCCCAGGTTCTCTGACCCCGAGTAAGGTCTCACTAGAGAGCCTCTGTGGGCCCCCACAAGCAGGGCAGATGAGATTCAGAATTCCAGGTCCAAAAG